CACAGAAGGGTGGTGAAAAACAGATGGGGCACTACTGGAACTAGGAGACCTGAATCCATGCCTTGAGACTGTGACTCAGGGGGTTTGCATAAGAGTACCTTATACTCTGGAGAAGAACTATAAACTACATTCTGACGATGTTGCTTTTGACTAAAAAGAGCATTCTTCTGCTGAAACAGCCATCCTGATAGGGCTCTTTGTTTCTCTGCTCAAACAACAGTGCTTTTGGGTGCTCCCTTGGGGTCTGCTTTGCCAACTGCCTAGTCTTAGTATGTGATGTTGAACTGTTTTTGTGGTATGTGTGTTTGTATTGTCATTCGATGCAATATCGTGTCAGATACTGCTTTTTCTATTTCATCTATGAAATAGGTACCTTTTAAGAGAAACTCAACAGACAAGAGAATGGTTTGAGGGCAAACTCCCCACAGCAGTTTCTACATACCTCATATATGACAGCTGCACTTAATGTCATTTTTCTGCCACTCTGAAATCACAGAGATCACTCATTTCTATCCCCAATTAGAACAGAATTTTTTTCCACCTGATTCTTTCTCGTAGGTCAGAATAAATAAGAAGTAGCTTCATTGAAGACAAAAAATTTATACTAGCTTGAAACTACTGTGAACCTGGGAGGTGGTGACAGTCTCAGTCTATTTGATATTGAAAAGTAATTCATGTTTTACGGTCCTTTGCTCCTTGGTATTTCCTCATCTTCATGTATGTTTGATACCTTGATTATAAGCACAGAGGACAGCTGTGTGTAAACCACTCTCTGAACTCATGCTCTGCACAAAGCCTAGCAGAGTGTTTGCCTTTGGAGGCCTGCCCAGTGCATCTTCTGTACTTACTGAGTCAGAAACGGACTGTCTTAACAGCCTTATTTTACATACGGTTACAACTTGCTCTGAAGTTTTAACCACCCAGAAGCACACTGGCAAGCTACTGCCTCCCAGGCAGTTTAAATGTGATGATTGACATTCTCTGCGCATCCAAGAAAGTTTCCTCTATGAATGCATGTTAATTTAATGGAGAGCAGACCATTTCCATCTCGTTATTCAGAAACGTCCTGATTTCTGCCAGGCATGCTGTTTGAATTTCTCGACTGTTACCCAACTATTACAGCTGGACCATCCTGCCACAGTTGTGTTGTCTGTCATCCCCTGACTGCCGCCAGTGATAGCACTCACAGCACAATTTCTTCCCATTTCAGATTCTCATCTTTGTATACTGAAATAATACTGTCTTCTCCACTTGTGTTTACAGACTTAACAGTTGTTGGCAAAGCAGTCATATTTCTCCAGTTAATGTCGGTCAATATCTGTGAAATTCCATCTTATATGTAGTTCAAGTTTCTCTGGAAAAATATCAATGTCAGAAAAGTACATTTTTTTTCCTAGTTGTCACCTAAAACACCTATTTTCTATGCTTTCTTCCATTCCAATAAAAAGTATTTGATTTATAGGTTTATCAGTTTTAGGCAAAGCTCCAGCCTCTTCTCTCTTTCAGTGCAGTTCAGAGAAAACTGTGTTATCAGCTTGGCTTCTTTTTTACCATCAGCCATGGAAGAACTTGGTAATCCATAAAAATGACCTGTTGCTCAGCAGGTTTAGCCCTGATCAATCTGTAACATTATTTTTCATGATTTGCATGATTTTTTATCTTCAAGAAACCAACGTTATTGTATTGAATAGTTTATTTTTATCATATTCTAAAAATATGCCCGAATGTTCCACTCTGAAGGAAATATTTAGAAAAGGAGCATGGCTTAAAGGGTAGCATCACAGTTTAATGTAGAGTCTTTATTCCAGCAGCAACCAAGGTGATCAGAGGAAGTGTACTTGACACTATGGAAATAAAGCTGGTAAAACATAGCTTTGAATCAAAACCCGTCATGTAAAAAATTGGTCCTTATGAGCTACATAGTTTCAAGGCTAGATTTGGACTGTGCAAGCCCAAGACCTGCCAGAGCATGACACAGGAACTTGAAATGGTGGATGAAAGCTTTAAAAGGAACATGTTTCAGCTCAGATTTTCCTACTCAAATCTCACTTTCCTTCAGTGATTGGATGGAGAAGGGGGAGACATCTGAAAGATATTAAAAAACAGGATAAAAGTGAATAAAATATTACCTCTAGAATGACAGAGTGGAGCTTTAAATAATAAGAAACTCAGTTTACTTCTCACATCTTGAAAACCTATATTTTAAAAATATACTTCACCTCTGCCATAAGTTCAGTCATGCTTTTGATCACAAAAGTTGCAGCCAAGACAAAATGTTTCAGAGATAACGGACTCAATCCATAAAGCTTCTGGTGCCACTTGTACTTAACTTTTCCAAGTACCTCTGAATAATCTCCTTCTTAATACTCTATTTGCTTATATTCAGTTGAAGATGTACTCTGGCATTCAAAACAGCAGTGATTTCTGGTTTTCTAAACCATGGATGCTAGGGGTTTTGTTGAGTAAAGCAGTTAGCTAAGGGCTGTGATTGTGAGAGGTGCTTGGCTCTCTGTGGATCGCTGTTGGTTTGGGTATCTCAACATGGCAAGAGTTGTCTGCTCCTTTGGCAGCCTTGGGTTAAATTTCCTGTGACCAAGGGCAACAGATGATATCTAATATTCTTTGACAGGTAACATTTTCTCTGTCTTCACTATGAACCCCTTTAACTGTTAATAGAGATAACGTTTGTTATGTGCTTTTCCCTTCTTTTGAGAAAAGCCTGCACCAGTGACAATGATGTAGGGCTGGAGCTGAAGCCGGCAGGAACAGAAGGAACTCTCTTCAGCAGGGAAAACTGCTGCTGTGTTTTTGAAATGATATTTGAGGAATCAGGATTCTCTCTGGAAAAGAGCAAGAACTCTAGTAAATCCTCTTCAGGTGTCTAAAAAGATCAGTCTTGATGATCATTGATTTACTTGAAGCTACCAACTGGAGACTTCAGGTAGAAATGACAGCAGCAGCACCCTAACTCCTCAGCTCACTTAAGTGCAGCGCTATATGTACCCAGGTACATACAGTCAGGCCAGTATCTGAGTGCCCTGCTCCACGACAAGCTGGTACACTTCAAAAACCTAACCATTCTCTCCTTTTTTTCTCTGTCCCTCTTCACTTGCAGGCTTCCTCTCGCAGCTTGTGTATGACCGGCCGGTGACCGAGTGCATCCGAGCTGGGCACTATGCAGCCAGCGTCATTATCAAGCGTTCAGGTTGCACCTTCCCAGAGAAGCCTGACTTCCACTGATACCGGTGAACTGGAGGGATCAAGAGTAACTCTCATATTGCCGTGGGATCGCTGCCTAAATTTTTCCTCCTTCCTTGTCCTCACCTTTCCAATTACCTGCATCAACGCTTCTGTACTTCTGTTCATTTCATTTTAAATGAAATATATATTTCTATGATGTTTTCCTTTCCGTGCCACTACCATGTCTCACTAGTCTTAACTTTTGGAAACTGTGCTAAGTGAAGCTTATTCTTGTATCCGCCTGGAAAATTTTTTCTATTGACACAGTTTAAAAGGAAGTCCTGTGTAAATGACACTGCTGACTAACACCAGTAAAATAATGAATTATCTAGTTTTATCTGTGTCCGAATCCTACTCAACTTACTTGAAATGAACAGACCTGACTGTATTTGTGACATAACCATATAAACCAGGAATAGTTCTTTCTGTATAGTGGGGTCACAGTAGCGTTAAGAGCAGTGTGAGTGTCCCAAGAATTTCCTTCAGTGTCTGAGTGTACAAGATCTGGCCATCACATCCAGCCCAGCCACCATGGAAGCAAATAGCAATTTGTCAGAACTTAAGGGCATGATCGTGCTGATGTCAGTGAGTGTGGGTCTGATGCTCTGTGTTCGCTGTACCGTGACCTCACGCTGGGCTGCCAGGTGAGCATGCAGATAGGTACTTTCAGGGATTTCAGGGCAGAGGCACGAGCTGATGATGAGCATAACGTATGGGTAGATCCTATCTCCTCAGTGCGAGCTTTATAGAGGCTGTATTTAATTAAGGTACACGTAATGAAAATGAGGTACAGAAATATTTATGCAGGATATATTGACAGGACATGCCAAATGGAATCTCTGAAACGCACATTTTTAAACTTTTAATTTACTTTGCGTAATTATCAATATGGTGGATTTTGTTTGTATTTACAGTATTCAAAGAGGTGATCTGACACTGCATTCATTACTTTGCTATGTAATTTGATACTGATAAATAAAAAATTGTCATACAGTAGTTCCCAGCTTTGTACTGTTGTATATACGTCATTCCTCAACTGTCTTACTGAAGCGAGAGCAGGAAACAGGAGCCTGACCCACAGTGTGTGTTAGATCTCTGCTTTTCAGCCATGGCTTTCTGCACCCATGTGGATGTTCAAGAGTGAGCTCTGCACTAAGGAAAGAAAGAAATAACATCAATGTGGTGTTCGTACCACAGGGAAGATGAAAAATTGATGGCTAGGATTTGTTGTAGAATGATAAGTCACTGCAGTCAGGTTTCACATTTTACTACAGAGCACTGAACAAGCAACACACAGGAACTGTTTGTTACAGTGTTGGTGTACCACAAAGAGCACGGGGAGACTGTGGTCTTGATTCCCTTTTTCCTTTGTCCCAGTCTCTGGTTTTATACATGGGACAATAGGCTCAGTCTTCCCAGGGTCACCTGGTGGGTTTCCTGCAAGTGCATCAAGGAGCTTCAAACCAGCCACCTCTGAAAGTCCTCACAGGGCCATGGAACTCCACATTGCAAATGCAGATCACTGCGTCTGAAGAATGGGCTGTTCTTCAAGGGCTTGGGGCACAGCTTCCAGCTGAAAAGGGTTGCATGTACAGGTGTTATCCATCTGTGGAACTACTCAGGAACAGCTTTGTGCAAATAAAACTTAGCTGTTTTCTCCTCTCAGTGCTGCTCTCAAACAACTTTGACTTTTCTCACAATTCTAGCATAGGAGAGAGGGAGAGGAATTAATATACTGTTGTGAAGATAGAACAGCAAAACTGAGAAGGGACTACAGTATGTGTTGTCTTCAGGCTTTATGAGTTCGTTGGAACAATTGTGCTTTTACTATCTTATTGCTAATTTTTAGTTCTTTAAATTGTTATATCCAATGCAGTGTATTTTAGTGAAGAAAAGGTGATGGGCTGAGGAAGAATGTTTTGCAGTCTGCTGTTAACGCATGGTCACATATAGCACACCATGCTTACTGCATGAGTTTGGCTGCCAGTAAGGAAAGAATGATAATCCAGTGGTTAAATCTGCTGTTCCCTTTGCTCTGTATTGGTGACACATTCCACTCGTTTTGTAACAACTTTATGCATGTCCTGGTCAGATACTTATGATTTGTTTCAAATAGAATTTAAGTATGTAGGTGTTCTTTGCCATAACAAAGGAATTAAAAAACAACATATATAATGTAGAGAAAGGGAGGATATGTAAAGGAAGGGAATTGTCAAATAGGATATGGGTTGTTGTTGGGTTTTTTTTTTTTCCTTTATCTAGGCCATTTCTTCTTTTCAAGTCAGGATGCAAGAGAGCCAAGTTAGAGGTTCTGTTGTGAGCTTTTCCACTGACATGCTTGGTAAGCCTGGGCTCCTAACATTTGGCTCCAAGTGTCAGCTGCAGAGCATAATTTGAAGCCAGTGGGAGCAGCTGAGGAATAAACTACCACCCATTTTGCAGAAGGGCATCAGAATCTGACCTGCTCTATTTAGCCATTCATTATTTCTCCAATATCTGTCAATGGGTATTCTTGGATGATATATGGATATTTAGAAATGTATTGCCAAATCATGCTAAATAACTTCTACTTGTGCTGTCAAGTTGCCTGGTGATTTCATTGAGAATTCTTTTCAGGATTTGTACTTCTCTCCTGCTTCTCACTGAGGCAGGCTTTTTTTTTGGTGTGTGTATATATAATGGATAATCGTGTCATCTTTAATCATCTCTTTCACATAGTTTTTCTTTTGTCCTCTGCTGACTTCTTCCACACAGAGGCATGTTAGAAAACTGGGTTTCCTGAAAAACATCGTTGAAAGAAATGTCTGCAAATGAAACACCCCCCTGTCTCAAATCTCAGATGGGAGAACTGAAGTCTGTCACTGGGCTTGAGCCATCATTCAAACCCAGAGTTTTGAGTGAGCAGGGATACTTTCAGATGGGAAACTGATTTCCCACCAGCACTGACCAAAGCATATTGCCACACTCAGATACAGCCCTTCCATTTTGCTGGAAAAAAAGGCTGCATCTCCTATGCTTCCCATCATGTATTTCAGGCTTGCTTTCGTACCATGTGAAGTGAACAGCAATGCTGCTGAGGTCAATGGGCAAGTTGTTAATGCTAAAAAGCATTAATAACAACAAAACAACGTGCTAAAGAACAGGAAAGAAAAGCTGAGAATCAGGAAATAAAGGTAACATTTCCATTTCTACAAGTGACTCACTTGTTCTTTTGGGCAGGTCGCTTTCCTCTCTGAATCTCTCTCTGCAAAGAAGATGGTAAGCTCAGAAAGATGGCAAACTCAGGATGAAGATGGTAAGAATTCAAATATGGCAGTGTGAGCCATATCTCAGCCTGTACTCACTGCTGATCTTTTAGTTTTCTCCTTTGTAAACAAATGTCTATTTGTTTACCCTTAGAATAGTGCTGGCTGCTAATGCTTGTTTGAGGGTTAAGACAGGGAAGGAAAAGGAGAAAAAGGAAAGGACAAAAGCTTTGCTGTCAAATGTGCCACATGAAAATGACAATAGAAATGCACACTGTTTTAAGATGACAAGTCTGGGAACAATCTTTAATTTAAAGGTTCTTATCCACAGTTTTCATAAAGAAATGTTAATTAAAAGTGCAATGACATGTTTGGGATTTAAAGGAAATCATTCTGCGAAGGATTTATAGCAATCACAGCTCCAGAGCATTAGGATTACAGATCCTTCTGCTGTTCCTTTTCAGTGATCATGTGATTGTCCTGTTGTTAAATATAGCTCCCATTTAGTGAATCGAGACAGGCATGGGAAAGGTAGGGATAGTTTCCCTCTAACCAGCGGGATTTCAGAGGTGTTGGAGATTATACAATTCATTAGTTTTAGCATAAGATCAAAGGAAGAGGGGAAGTCTTAATTTGGGCGCCAACTGCTACTGTCTGAAAGTCTTGCAGCTTAAATGAGAAGTGAACATTTGCAGTGCTAACTGCTTGTCTTAGAGCATGAGCCTATTGTTTTATATCTCACAAACTCATTGTTCTTTTCCTGCAGATAATTCTCACACTTAAGACCTTCTGAGATAGTTATGTCCATTGTGAATAGTTCAGCAACCAACTGGCTCAGAGGTTATTGCCTAAGCATCTTTCCCTCGCTCTAATCCCCTGCAAGGTTTTTTCTGAGCAGTGTTGTTAATCTAAAATGACTGCTAACTGACTCCTGTGTCAAACATTATTCATTATGCACTTTAAATGCTTCCTGCAGAGGCCAAAATAAATTTTGCTTTTTAAAAGCAGACCACAAGGAGTGCCTACATAGGATATTTCCTAAAAGATTAGACTAAAAATGGCAGTTAAGATGTTGGGGGGAATGAACAGCGTTCACAACAAAGCTTCACAGTTTAACCAGGGATAAACTTCAGTTACCAAAACCTACTTTCATATAGATTTATCTATAAACTATCTATAACCGAAGGAAGAGCTCACCCTTACGGGGTGGGAGAAATACCTTTATAAAGGGATGTTATAAGGTACTTTATTAGAAAATGAGGGCCAAATAAACAAAAATGTAAAAAGTAGTAATTCTCCTGTGTCTTGGTTGTGGGTGTTTTTTTTCAGGTGTCACTGGTGTTGGCACAAAGGGAGAGCTTTTTTTGTGTCAGTGGCACTGACAGGCCTTGCATGCATAATGACAGCATAGGAATAGACAGACAGATAGATTTGAATAGCAATAAGGTGGGTTTTCTTCCAGTGTGAAAAGAGCATGGGATTCGTGTGTACTGAGATGAAGTATAGCCTTGCTGCACAGTGCAAATATTTAATGCTCTTCTAACTATCCCCAGGTTATTGGAGTGTAACAGTTAATAGCCATCAGCTGCCAAACCCAGTGAGCAGTTTGGGTGCCTAAAAAGAAAATGAAAAGTTAAAAAATGAAGCCAAGTCAGACTAGAAACCCACAAATCATAAATGTGCTATAGCTTAGCAGGCAGATCATCTCCAAAGTTCAGAGCAGCGTCAACCTGAGCTGCTGCTTCTCAAATGAGAGAAGGATTGAGTACATCTGTCTTCCAGTCTGAGCTTTGCCATGTACTCACAGGCCAGCTCTGGCTGGACCTTCTGCTTTCCAGCCCTGTTACTTCTAGTAATATTTTTAAGGAGATGGAGTATGGCCTGAAAAGAAGAAAAGCAAAGCATTATCACTATTCTGTATCAAATATCTCAAGGCAGTGATGCAGCATAAATTCATGGAAAAACTGAGGGGCTCCTGAACTGAGTTTGAGAGAAATCCTGTGCTTGGAAGTTCTCTGTATCTGCAGTGCTGTAGATACGGAGATGTTAACGCTGGCATAGGATATTACACTTAAAGCATTAAGTATTACTGTGGAATTACAAGAGCGTATAAGAGTATTTCAAAGAATGGATTCAGCTTGAAAATCACCCCTCTTTCTCTGTGTATTTTTCTTAGCAATGCTAGAAGTAGTAATTAACTGTACTTAAAAATTGTTCTGTTTTGAACGGACCTGCTTTTTTGAGAATAAGCCTTGGGAATAGGCTATTTCCCTCTGCCCCTATGAATCTGCTGGCAGTTTCCATCACGTAATTGGCAGCACAGCAGCCCCTGTTCTCAGGCTTCCTCCGGAGGACAGATCAGAGAACGGAGCAGATCAGCTCCTCCCAAAGTAGCTGGAGGACACCTCTGGACCCCGGGGAGCAGACAGGAAGGGGCCACAGGCAACCTAAAGCAGGAGCTCTTCTCGCCATTTCCCCTTGGTTCATGTGTCATTTTCATGGAAATGAAATAAATGAAATTACTGATCCCACTTGGAGATGCCTTTTCAGGATTATGACCTACTGGTGGAACTCTTAATGGCATTCAGGTAACCTGCAGAATTTCATAGAATCATGGAGTCACAGAATATCCCGACTTGAAAGGGACCCATGAGGATTGTTGAATCCAGCTCCTGGCTCTGCACAGCACTACCCAACATTCAAACCCTATGACTGAGAGTTTTGACCTCAAGCAGAATTTGTGCTGTGACCATTGCCCTGAGGAGCCTCTTCAGTTTCTGAGGTTCTTCCGTAACTCTCTCACATGGATAGACCTATTTTAGTCTGACCTGTCCTAAAGCATAGCCAGCTGCTCTGGCTGTCCTGCAGGGTAAGGACAAAGCAGTTTTCTATTCATGTCCCAAGGTCAGTACAAAAACAAACACATTTTGTATCTGATAGCAAAAAGCATTCATCAGTGCAACTTTTTCATTCTGTTAATGGCCACAGATTTCAGAAGATGAACACCCTGGATTTCAGGAAGGTTGTGCTCCAGATACGACTTGGGTGTATTATGAATACGTACATGGCACATTTCATTGCCTACAATTAGCAGTAAACAGCCTCTTGAGGCTTGATGTGTGTTATGCAACACAGTGTTTCAGGACAAAGCAAGTTCGCTCTCAAGAAACAAGATTTTTTAGCACACAACCTGGCAAATTTAGGCTGGGAAATGAAGAAACTTATTTGGGATGACTTGTCATAGTACTTTTACTATGGAGATCTATGCCAGTTCAGAAGTTATCACTTTTACCCCCTAGCAGCAGCAGTTTTAATTGGGCCACAGAAGGAGTCTTGCAGAGGTGGAAGGTATTTGGGTTTCCCTGAGGCTCAGAGTTCTTCCCTGAGAAGAAGCCTTACATCTTGTTGGCTCCAAGCAAAAAGATAAATTGTAGTGTGCTTGAGTATTAAGTTGTACAATATCAGCTGCAGATTTGCTTTTTGGGTTGGTGTGCTAAAGTACAGTTTCCTGCTGAACATCCTTTGTGTGATATATTTGCCTACCTCTGCCTTGTGTTTGCTTCTCCCTCTTGATCCTTCCCGTAAAGTCGTAAGTCATGTTTCATTTATCTTACCCATGTACCTTTTTCCTAATGACCTCATTTTTCTATAACAGAGGAAGATGGGGCAGTAATGGGGAGGACATTTGTCCTGTATTCCTATTCATACCTTCTCCCAAGAACTCTCTCACTCCACACTGACTTGACGATGGAATTAAAGAAGTATTTCTTCATAAAAAGGCAAGTGAGGTTTTTAATGATGCATTGTTACCTATGACTCTTTCCATGTTTCATGCTGTAGTGAGATATCGACTCTGTGCTAAACCAGCAGGCAGCCCTACCAGAGGACTAGCCTCTTTTTCTTTAATTGGCTTTGATCCTTGTTCTTTAATTTTCCTTGGACAAATCCAGTCCGTGTACTACTGCTAGTCCATTCTGATGCTGATACTGAGTGGGATCAGAGCACAGGGCATGTAACATTACAGCCCCCGTGTTACACCAGATAGAGTTTAGTAGTTTACAGAGTAGCAAGGATCATAAGGTTTACTTACTCTCCAAACACTACTGGCAAAAGGAAAACAGACACAAATGTGTGTTGCACAGATACCTTGCCTCACAGTTCTGCTCATTTAACTCAGCTTAATGATTCCTTTTGGCTTCCTCTTCCCTTCCAAACCATAGTTGTGAATATTCATCTTTCAAGTAAAGCGCCATGGAAGTGGGCCTTCGTACAGGACTCTTGCCGGCTGCCACTCCTGCTGACAAAAAAGATTGCAAGAAGAATTTGAATAAAGGACAAACGTCACATATGCTGTGTGCTATGGAGGACAAATGCTGAATACAAAATATGTTTAATTGCTGAGTTAATTATCTCACTAAAGTCTAAATGTTGTTTTTCAGCACTCTTCCCCTCCCCCCCCCCCCAGTTGTTTACTTTTATCAGTTAGAAAATAAAAAATCAATGTCATGAAAAACATAATTATATTCCTACTAATCTGGAGTGTTTTCTCATTTGAGTACTGCAGTCTGATGCATTTTATCACTTTCCATCAGATTATAGCAGTGGAAATTGCCAGCTAAAAGCTATGGCTCTAAAGCAAAAAAGGGGAAGAAGAAAACCCACCCCAGAGCCATGTGCCTTGCCAATCAAATCTTGCTCCTAATGACAAAGCTTCTGTGATTTCCTTTCTGACAATGCATGAATAGCTGGTGAATAATTGGTTCAACAGGAGCTTCATTAAAGTCCAAGAGAGAAAACAGGATCTTTCATGTGAATAATTTGGAATGATTGGTAAAGACGAGGCATTATTATAGGATTGCCTTCTGCTCCACAGTCAGAAATCCACAGCCTCTTCCTTACAGAAGAGTGAAAACACTTTGTGTTCCAGCTACTCCCAAGTTGTGGATGATCTTGCTACTTAGCAAGATGACTTTTTGGTTGATATTGTTTTTGCATTAAAGGCACCCATTCTTCACACAAATGAAAGAAATTGAGCTTTGTCTGGGGAGTCCAGCTGAGAACACATCCTCGTGCTCCCAGTTTGAACAGATCTAGTGTAAGCTCCACCACTCCTCCACCACTTCAGTGTAAAAGATTGATGGCAGCAACCCACAGGAACGCAGGCCCTGTGGAAATGTGCACTGGTCTACCCCCACTGCAGTGCTTCAGTCTGTGCCACCCGACCCGGAACAGCACATATGAAGGAGGTCTGTGCACCAACCTGTCCTCAGCTGCTCAGCCATTGTGGCCTTCCTGGTGGGCAGAAATAATAGCTGAGGCTCAGCCTGGCCTTTGGTCGGAGTGGTGAACAGTACACAGGAGAGTGACCTGTGGCCATTTACGGGAGCAGATGAGGTCATGTCAAAGAGCAGGTGTGAGGCTCTCCTCCTGGTACCACCGGTCCTGGTGGCCAGGTAGCATGGGACAACGGGATCATGCCAGAGACCACGCAGCTATGTGTCACCCACCGGCAAGTTCAGACAAGACAAATGGAGCAGAGCTGAGCTCTGGGTTTCAGGAACTGACCAAACTCTGGCAACTCAGGGCAGTTGCTGAATTTCACATCTGAACTCCCTCCTCAGTGACTGGAACCCTGGTCCACTGAGCCCAGTGTTTCTGACCAGAGCCAGCTGACATGGCCTTGCTTGAGATCTCGGGTGACCCTAGCTTGTCATTTGGCATCCTAATCTCTAGCTGTACCTCAGTTTTCAACAAACAGCCCTTTAAAAAAAAAGAAGAAGAACCAGCTGGTTTCCTTGCCCCACAGTACCAGGTGCACCACCTCATGGGGCAGTGCGTTCAGTGCTTCTGTCAGGCTCAGCATGGGGAAACGCAGTGGCAGCAGGTGGCCATCTTGTCCATACCTTGGAAGAGAGAGAGGCCTCTCTCTCGTCACCCACAGAGCATTAAAGCAATTACTGAATGCACTAAGCACTTTAAAGATCATCTCAGACGGTCATTCAAAGTCTGCAGGCAGTGCCATGTCAGTGGAGCACCACATCAGAATTTAGGGTTCACTGATTTTTACTGCCTGCCACGTTTTTTCTAGATGGAATTGGAGAAGGCCTTATGCAGTAGAGAGGGCTTTACATGCCCCAAGGAAATAAGCCCTGGATGGACTCTTTCACAAATGGTGCAGCAGGCTGTGGCAGGACCCTGTGTGAAGGCAGGTCTGGGAAGAGCAGACTGGGCAAATACCTGGTGAGGGTGACCATCCCCACAGCAGACAACAGCTCTCCTGCTCAGACTGATTCTTCACCCAGTGTTCCCATTATAGCATGGCACAGTTGTACTAATGTATAGACATACACTACCTGCCAGGAGTGGGTTAATTCCTGCCAATTTAATGACTGTAATAAATGGCAACAGTGTGGAAAACACTGTCCTACTCCCCTAGCAATGGATAAATCAGCTTTCCCAGCTCAGAGGACAACTATTAACCTGAGGTCTGCTGAGGCTTCTCGTCCTGTACTCTACGTGTGGAGCCCCACACTATGCCCGCAAAGCTGAGGTTCTCTGGAGGGCCTAGAGCCCCAGCAGACCTTCCTCTGCAGTTTCTGAGCTTACAGACAATAGCCTTGTTCATTTTCATATCCTTAGAGCCTACTTTTTAAACCATTTAGCCAGTCTCTTCCTTTTTTTCACAGATCTTGAGATGGCTGGCCAGCACAATGTGCACTGCTGGTTTTAAATAGCCATGCCTGAGAGATGAGAACTATTAGCATCTGCATAGATACACAAAAAATGTCCACAGATTCAGGGCATGCATCAGCAGTGAGCGGGATTCCTGTGAACAGTCCTGCTGTTCAGTACAAAAAAGAAAATATTTGTCATCACTCTTTCCCAGAATGTTTTCACAAAGGCAGCTGCTACCTGAGCTGTTATTTGGGTTGCTGAACAAGTGAGCATCATCACAAGGAAACAAACACACAGGCAGGTGTGTAACCATGCTCATTTGCTGCTTTTTGAGGGCAGGAGGAGGGTGATGTAATTAGCAAACACATGTTTAAATTTTTAATTAAGAGTTTTAATGGATTATTCACTGCCTACCAGAACACACATGCTCTTACTTCCTCGCTCTCCCGGGCTGGGTTCCTAAGGAAACCAGGCTCAGTCGGTTGTGCTGCTGCCAGCCTTCCTTCCTCGCCGGGGCTGAGCTCTTCAGGGTTCATGGCAGGCCAGCGCCACTTTTGTGGTAAAATCATGACTGTGTCACAACACTGCGGTTGCAAAAAGCTTGAGCAGCTGCAGGAGGAGCCCAGCCATAGGCACAAAAAGGCTTCTTCAGGAGCTGGGCCCCAGCCTGCAGACAAATCAGCTGAGGCATCTCGACGTGTTGATCATGGTTTCTCTGAACTCCTTGACTTTTTCCAGATTTTATTTTTTCATCTTATGCTGCTTACTAGTGCTGTGATATTCACTGTGGTGCAGTGTAGGAAAGGCTTTGGCTGGGTTTGGTGTATCCAGAGAAGGAGCTGGGCAGCTCCCAGCTGCACTGCCTCTAGGTTGGCCCTCAGCCCAGGCAGCCAAGCCCCAGGAGGGTGGATGTTCTCAGGGCCCTTCCACAGCCTCTCTTTACATGTGTTTACTCTTGTTTAACTATGGTAGAACAGGTTGGAAAGTTTCTACGCAATGTGGAATGGTCCTGTTGGCTTTAATATTTGTGATCTTCCCTTCTGGATATAGATTTTCCAAGTATAACTGCTGCTTGTTGCTTGTGGTCTAGCAAATGTTTATTCCATCCCTGAGGAAATGGTGAGGCTGGTCAGCACCTGCTGGTGCTAACGGACATGCTGCTGAACATAGGATGGAGATGACCCTGATGGTAAGCACCACGAGATGGATGGTCCACCTCGAAGATGCAGTCGTAAACATAAAACTGCAGAAGCTGAACAGCCAGAAATAAAGCACATCATCACAACCGAATAAGAATTAAACAAAGAAACTCTTCTATATACACACAGTTTAAGCAGAAAAGTGATTTCATTTCAAGGGTGCAAGCTGCTCTGCTGATCTCAGAGCTACATGAAGTCTCCTACCAGAGGAACTGGGGTCTTACGTAGGACCTGAGCTCCCAATACATCTCAGTGCAGCACAAGAGCTGCATGCTGCAAAGTGAGCTGCCAGAGAACTCCTAACACAGACTGCAAGAAGATTCTTGTCCCATAATTGGAATCTGCATATTTGTTTTGATTGTTGCACTGCAAAATACCTCAGCGAAGCTACAAAGGGTATATTTGACATCTATTTCTGACAGGCTTTTCTACAACATTCACCAAAGCAGAGTTTTGTGTGCCTTCTCTTCGGTTGTATTTACCACATTAATTATCCATGCATTAACACAGTTTACAATCACTTTCATTTATGTTAGTGCTGCATTCTCACTTTATGGGTAACTTTGTTTACCAGTTCCTTCCCGCTGGCTTGCCTGAAGGTAATGCTTTGTTCTGCACCAGCACTGCCCTGCTCAGCTGCAGCATGGCTCTCCAAACAAGGACCATGCTGCTAGCTCTGTTCGCAGGATGGCCAAGAGAGGGAAGAACAATTGTACTGCCATCAGTTTGCATTGTTTGTTCTGCTTAAATTCTGGGCCACTACACTGTCCTAGAGGACTTTCCCCACAGACAGATTGGTCTTTCTGTCAGAGCTGTTGTTTGAGTGGACGTGGCAAGTCTTGTTCAGACTCAGAGCTTGCTGCAAAAGGCATATTTTCACTTCAGTCAAACAAGACCCAGCCTGAGCTTGGTTGGAGAAACAATCTTGGCACTTCAGAACCTCACCCCCGCCCCCACATCTCTTTTGTAGATAAGGTGGTGAAAACAAATGTTGTAGGAGAAGAATTAAATCATAAATGCTCTGGCTCTTCTCAGCTTGCTTGAGTTTATTGTTCAGGTCTGAACATTGTTACTG